GGGGGGCGGGGCCGGCCCAGATCATTCTGCGGGTGCACATAAATGCCCCAGCAGGTGCCATGGTGCCTGCGGGCACCGCGTTGGGGACCACTGAGCTAACTGGTGTAGCAGACTTGTTTTGAGTGTAATGAAGTGTGTGATAGACAGTGCCTTATGGATCTGTAGTGGGCAATGTAGAAGAAGGCACCAAGACTAATTTATTTGTATTGTGGTTGTGGCTGGGGGCCTCAGTCAAGGATTCAGGACCCCATTGTGCTAAGCACTGTGTATACACAAAGATCATCCTAGGCTCAAAGATTTTACAATCTAAGTATAAATTGATGGAATAAGTTGTGGGGGGGGGGGCGGAGGGAGGAGAAGGGAGGTATGATATCATAATGGAACAATATATGGGTGAGACACTATATATACCAAGTAGGTGAGGTACAAGGTGATATGTCCTAACATCAAGAAATTGCATTCTGTAGTTTCATTACAATAAATCCCAACCTGCCATATAATCTTTATTTTGATTTCTTTTGAGAAATGAATTGTAAGAATACCCTGTCTTTAGTGGAATATAAATTATTAAAGATTTTCCAAATACTGCTTCATCTATAGCATCTGATGATGTAATTCCCACACACAGAGAATGAGAGCACGTTTTGCCTGTCATGGACTTTTCCTTTGATTTACACAGCCCATGCCGCAAAATGAAGCCTTTCACCTTAATGTATTACCTCATTATTGTAAAGATATTTCTTATTAATATGCTGTATTATGAAGAAATGTCTAGCACAATACAGTACTAAATGGAATTGGAGGATGCAGGAGCTCTTCATTCTAAGGTTATAAAAATAATGTAGATATTCTGCAAAGGAAACACGGCTACAAGGAGCAGGATCACCATTGTTTACAAGAGTCCATTGCTTCTGTTTTGCAAAGTGTCTATTTTCTAGCATTAATTTATATTTTCTCCCACCTTCATCTCTGCTCCCCCATTCATTCTGTGGTATTCCATGCTCCTCACTTTACTCTTTGTTCATCTTATCTCTTTTTTTCAATTTTCTACCTTCTGCTTCGTGCCTTCTGGCTAGAACTCTTTCTCTGTTCTCATTTGCCATGAATACTTTCCATTTACCTCTGTAATTCTCCTTAAACGAGTCCCTTTTGTGCGTCATCAATAATTGCACATTTTCTCTCTCCTGACTTGTCCTATTGTCTTGATTGAAGTTGGCTGAAACTTGGGTTTTGTTTCAGGGGAAGTTTTGGTATTTCCAGTTTTGTTTACATTTGGAATCAAAGCAAAATTCCCTCTACAGAGTTACAGGGAGGGGTGTGTGTGTGTGTGTGTGTGTGTGTGTGCCTGGCAAATCAGAGATCCCTGAAAAAATGGTTTTGGAAACACCAAAATACTGTGTTCTGAGAACAACTGTGTGACAGGAACGTTAATTAATTTCCTAGTTGCTACTTCCTGTGTAGGAGTCATGAAATTTACAAGATTGTCAATTTCATTCTTTTGGCACTTTCATGCTCCTTGCTTAAGTTAGAGCTTCAAGAGTCCCTGTTGAGGAGCCAGGAGCTTGTAACCTAGAAGTTTTAGGACTGGCTCCCAAGGTCTGGGGCAGCACTGCCATGTGGACTGCCTAGTGTTGGGGAGACTCTAAGGTTTTCAAATTTCCGGGCCAACTGGCAGCACAGTTTGTCCTACTCCAAATGGAGAGATTTGCTAAGAAATTCCAGTGAATAAGCTTTTTCCAACCCACTCCAGTTTTGAGTTTTGTCTTTGGAATATGAAATGGCTTACATGGCATTCTACATGCATAAATAATTGGATGGTGCTCTAAAAATGAATATGAAAGACTATTTGAACTACTTGTGAAGGAAATAAAGTTAAAACTTTAGTATGTGTTGCAGGATAACTTTCCCGGTAAGGGGAGGAAAAGGGAAGAAACGGAAGGAAGAGGAAGAGAACGAAGAAAAGACTGAAGAAGCTAAAACATTAATTGTTGAACCTCATGTTATTCCCAACAGGGGACCATATCCATACAATCAACCCAAACGGTAATATTGTTGTAACTTTGTGTCTATGCAAACACCTAAGTAATTCTGTGTCTGGGAGACTTTGTTGTAGGTTGCAGTTGATTTGGTTACATAATCTGGGTAAACTTTTTACTTGTTTCTTTGTTTCAGTAGGTAGAAGAAGTGAATTAAACTAGACTGAATTAAGTCTGATTTAACTCTAAATGAGTGTCCACAAGAGTTCAATATAGCTTAACTGATCTACTTTTCTTAGTGTCCTATGTAGATAGTCCCTTAAGAAAACCTTTTTATGTTTTCTGCATTTATTGAATCTATTTTTGTTCGTTTCAGCAATACTATTCAGTTTACTCACACTCAGATTGAGGCTATACGTGCAGGAATGCAACCTGGACTAACTATGGTAAGGATAATAATTGAGTTGTTACCATATTTCTTGTTGAAAATTATTCTGTTTAAGTTTAGGATAGGTTCTCTGAAGTGCAGGTACCTTCAGTTTTCTATGTCTGCTATGATTGTGTTTTGTGTTTTCTTCCTAGCATCAGATACAGGGAAACACCCAATAATAGCCTCTCCTTCAAAAAGCAAATAAACAAACAAACCCTCTGAATAAGATTCTGTCCTGTGTTCCAGTAGTTGGGGATTTATTTCTGGATCGTTAAATTGGCATGCGTTTGTGTATTGGATGTGGGGAGACTGCTAATTTTAGAGTACAGTGATTTAGTGCTGAATTTGTTTTGATTGTATTTACAGTAGTTGTAATGCCTTGGTCCTGATGAAGTATCCACTTTTTCTTCACTTCAATGAGCTTCATTTTAGGCCCCTCTAGAAAAATTTCATATATATATATATACAGAGGCAGCAGTGTGGGGTGACAGGCAGGAGCCAGCTGCCACCCCACACCTGGCTCCTGCAAGTGGCTTCTGGGCACTGGCTCCTGCAAGTGGCACCCCAAAACCTATATTGCAGTGCCAACAGTACAGATATATCAGATACGGAGGCGACAGCTAGCTCCCTGACTCGCCAGGTGCTGGCATGGAACCTTTACGATTAACTGATAAGCTTACACTTTTGCATCTCCAATAGGGATGTAAAAGTGTAAGCTTATCAGTTAATCGTAAAGGTTCTATGCCAGCACCTGGCATCAGTCACACTGTTCTTTATGCTCTTGGTTTGAAGCATGAGAACAACTCCTCTGCATGGACAGACCAGTGAATATTATTTACTAAAAGTCTCTGGACTCAGACTCCTGGTGCTACATGTGGAATACAAATAGGGACCATAAAGACCCTCCAGTTACAGTTAAGTTCATTTTTATGGACTGATATTGCAGTCCTTACTCATATGAGGAGGCCCATTAACATCAGTGGGGCTACTCACTTGAGTAAAAGCTGTAGGATTGGTTAACAAACTTAGTTTTCAGTAAGACTAATTAGAACCTTGCAAATAATAATAAATAAATGACCTATAAGGAGTATCTGCTGTTCCCGAGGGGTTATTTTAAAATGAAAGAAGACATTTTCCATGTCGGATTGTTTTTGGAAACAGTAAAATTCACTAGTGATAAGTGATTAAAAACTGCTTAGTTAATTTTTTTGGAACAAGTCCATTTATTTGAACTGCTGGCTTTTTAATAATTATAGTGTTTTGCTAAGAATACCCACATTTGTATATTGGAGTCTTATACCAGTATTCCTTACTTGTCAGCTAGAAAGATGACTAGTAAATTAAAATCTTTATTGCCATTTTGTAATATGTAATCAACACACAAAATACTAGGGGGGAAACTCTAGGTGATGTAGCTCTTTGTTTTAATCTTGTTTTTTTAATCTAGTGGTATGTACTGTTAATTAATATAATTTAATCTTTGATGAATCAGAATAACTTTCCATATAAGCACAATGTATTATGAAGTGCCATCTGCATATTTTTATTGGAAGGCTTTTTGGTATAAATTGTAGTACCTGATAATGTTTAGTTCCACCAGTCCATCAGCAAAAGAATAAACTACTGGGAGAAATTGTTTAAAGTTTTGTCTAAAGTTTTTTACTAATCTCTTATTTTCATCTTAAAGATATCTTCTCTGATTTAGGAGAACATTCTCTTAGACCAAATAGGAAAAGTGACACTTAAAAATGAGCATTTAATAAATGACAAGCCTCTTGACATTTTTACTTGCTTGTGCTAACAAAGTTTTTTTTTGTTGTTTTTGACAACTGTTTGACTCTCTCTTTCCAGTTCACTGTACAATGTGAACCCATATTTTCATTCCAATTAAAATAAATAAGATGAACCATTGTGGAGTGCATTTTGTATATTTATGGTAATGATGAAACAAGAGACAGGACTATGCAGCACTTTAAAGACTAACAAGACGGTTTATTAGGTGATGAGCTTTCAAGGGCCCAGACCCAAGTGGTCTGGTCCACGAAAGCTCATCACCTAATAAACCGTCTTGTTAGTCTTTAAAGTGCTGCATAGTCCTGTCTTTGGTTTCAGCAAGACCAGACTAACATGGCTACATCTCTGTTACTATGATAATGATGTAATCTGTTGTCTTTGCTTGAGGAATCCAATTGATATGTTGATAGAGCTACTTGTCTGAAGGAGGCAAGCAGGACTTGGCCCATATTGGTTGAAATGTCATGTTGGTTCTCGTGACATTCCGATCTAATGTATGTTTCATAACTCATTTCAAAATACTACACTTTGAGATTGCTCATAACATTTAAAAACCTTGTTCAGGTTGGATTTTTGCTCATATTTAAAATGTTAGGCAAAGAGAAAGTTAGGGGTGAATCTGATGGCTTCAGGAAACAAATGTGAACTAGATATGAATTTAACCATAGAATTCCTCCAGAATATTCCAGGCATTAGTACTCTCTAGTTCAAGGATAGTATTTGGCAGGTATCCGATATTTGGGTATATATGGTAAACTAAAAAAATATATTGGTGACAAATGCGAACATAGGAACTTGGATAACTGTTTTTAAATACATGTTTCAAAAAGTGATGATATTAAGGGTAATGCAGCTACATCAGTAGTAACTAAACACAAATAAAAAGTGAAATACTGCATTTATAATTAATAGCATGGAATGAAATATAATGCTTGGCATTTTAAAAACAAAACTGTTAAGATGAAGAATTGCAACTGAGATACAGAGGTGTAATGTATTTAGTATATAAAATTCTGTGCCGTTTCTTATCAAAATATTAATCTCTGATATATTTATGTCACCTGGGCCAGTCTTGGATTTTTGTAGGTTGCAAATTAAAAGTGCCAAACCTATTAATCTGATCCATATCTCCTTTCTCATCCATGGTATTTAAGTCTTTGCTCTTTCTGTGGTTGCCCCATGTTCCACTAGTGTTTTGTCTATTTGGTCAGGTATATTCCCATTGCCTGGAACTCTGCATTAGCACAGGGCTACATTTTCCACCGTATTTTTGCATTTCTGACTGGAGTCCACAGAAACAAGTAACGGATTACACACAGTTGACAATAAATGGAGCAATTTAGAGGAGAATTTTGGTTATCAGCTTCCTAAGACCGTGCTATGTGAAAATGAAGATGCTTATCGAACCATTATGTTCTGCCCAACTTGTAATTTCTTTTAATTCTTCCAATAGGATGGTTGTATGTTGCAAATTATTGCTTATCTATACTTTCATTTTGTAGGTAGTGGGTCCACCTGGTACTGGTAAAACTGATGTAGCTGTTCAGATAATATCCAATCTCTATCATAACTTCCCAGAACAGAGAACCCTGATAGTTACACATTCCAACCAGGTAAATGAACAACTTCTGTATGATGCTTTCTTATACTGCCCTATTTTTGTGGCTTCAATAGTACAGTTATTTCCATTGATATGGACTTGAACAGGTTTGTGTGGAGTTTTAAGCCTAATAAAAACAGATTAGGAAGTTACGGTGGAAGTAAAATTTAAAACGTTCTGAAGTGTGTTATCAGATGCATTTTCTGTTTAAGACATTTAAACGATTAGGGTGGAATCCAAAAAGTTACATATTGTTCACATATTAAACATACGGGACTGTTCTGCTTCTGCTATTCCTGAAATATCTTTTATAGCTCTAGTCTCCGTATTTGGGCTTCAAATTGGCACTTAACTCTGAATCACCATTCTAGTCCATCTTCCTTTGACAAGACAGATATTGTGGTTTTGGAGATATCAGGCAAGTTGCACTAGCGTTACTAAATATAAAATACATCTAGCTACACTGGTGCAAACACAAATATAGACACACTTAAATCAGTTTAGTTCTTTCTTGAGTCAGTTTAGGTTAATTTGTGCAAACTAAACTCATTTAAATGTGTCTATATTAAGGTTTGCACTGTGTGACTAGATTAATTTAGTTACAGATGTGCAACTTTTTTGATAGAATACAGGCCTAGAACACCTGTGTCTTGTCTATCACATACAGACCAGATACAGCACCTCCCTACGTCCACCATCTCCTCACAGGCCTTTGAGACCTAATTTCATTTTCCTATGATTATGTAATCAAGACATCTAATTGAATAGATGAGGGAAAACATCTTTCAAATACGATCAGGAGAACCTACCACTAGAATAGTCCAGATATTTGCCTTTAATCCCGTGCGTGCGCGCTCGCACTTTAAGTTGGGGAAGAGGAAGCTGCATGCCAGATTTGGCGATCCTAGCTCTTACTGTTTAGGAGTTCTTGAATAAGCAGACACGCAGACAGACACACAGATAGACACAAGCCTCTAAAATATGTATAGATGTAGATAGGTCATTGACCATAGACTATACTGTACATGCTTGCATTTCTTACCATTTTCTTAGTGTCAGCAAGTGTCCTTAGTCCATACTTAGCAGCCTCCTCTCACTTCAGGAAATATAGAACTGCCAATTCTGCTTGCCCTTTACTCAGTTTAGTCATTAGGCCATGCAACAGCATCATAATTGGGGGAGTTCAGCCACGTTTAGTGCATACTTCCCAATCTCGCTAAGTAATTTTCTCTATATTCCACTGTGATAGTTTCCCCCCCACCCCCCCACCTCCATGTGCCACCTGGAACTTTATCACTGAGCTTCCTGACCCACCAGGCTAGGCCTCCTCTCACACTGTACTTCTGTGAGAAACTGCCCAGCCCTCCAGCCTGCACTCTTACAACCATACATACAGGTAGGACACACAGCTGCAGCTACATGCAGGTGATCTGACCAGCCCCTGCATAGGAAGGCTCCAGGTAGGGTGCTTTCCAGCTGCTTAGGCAAATACACCCTCTGCGAGTGTAAACCCAAAATTATGCTATCTTGTGCTTCACAGAGAAATGTACAATGTAAGCTCATAAAACTCACCCGCTCTCTCAATGTGGAGAAGAATACGCAAAAGCCTTTTGCCTGAGCTAAGATTCCTGAGCACTGGTTTATATCTGTGGTGTCCCAACATGCTAGCTCCTAACCACATGTGGCTATTTGTCTGGTTGCGTGTGGCTAGTTCACTATAGCAGTAGCCACCATAGTGGCCACTGCTTCAGAACTGGTTGGACACCATGGGTTTTAGATGAAGCAAAACCAAGTTTCATTACTACAGAAGAGAGATTTTAAGTGATTAGATATGATAGCAAACGGACCAAAGCAGATTACTTAGCAAATAAACAAAAATGCAAATTAAGTTTAATATTTATGCTAAATATTTGAGAGAGTGTATGGGTCTGTATGTTAGTTCGTCTGCCTGAGTCTGTTGAAGAACTCCTCCTAAACAGTAAGAGTGAGGACCACCAAATTCAGTATACAGCTTCCTCTTATCATAATTTAAACCAAGGTAAGAGTTTGGATGTGCTAGAAATATGGGATGTTCCTGGAATGGGATTGCTTCTCCTAAAACCATACAGAAAAAGAGATAATCACCAGGCAGGTGGAAGAGGCTCTCACCACTCTTCTTTTGATTGGCTACAGTCTATACAGGCTGTATTGGTACAATGGCTTCTTTCTTCAAACTAAAGCAATCCTGCTTTTGATAAAACAAGGTGTGATGTGAGAGGTAAGTCTTACGGACTTCATTACATGCATATAGATAGGCTAGTGTTTGCAAACATGTATACAGGGATTCCTTTTAGTTATCAATGAAATGAAGCCATACCTGAAATGAAAGCCTATAAGCAGCACTACTCCTCCACTGTTTGACAGAAAGCAAAGTGTATCCTATCCAATTGAAACTACAGGGGAATTTTAAGAAAGCAGCATTGAATTATGCAGTTATAACTTATCTCATTTGACAGATATACTGGGTAGTTTTTTTCCAGATTATCTGGTACAATCCATGTACAATAAATGTTGAATGAACAAAATTTGATGTCTCATTTATTCATGTTTTATTGCTTTTAGATCAAATAGTAATTGGATGTAGTACTTGAACAGTTTTGTAAGTTGATCACCAATTTTTTAAAGCGAAAGCTTGAATATTGGTGAATGCTGTTTTTAATTAATATGTATCTAGAGCATATAAAGGCATCACTATAAGTGAACTGCCTACTTTTCTATCTCAAGATTAAGTGTTGCCTTCATGTTTCCTTTGGTTCTAGTTTGTAGCCAAATAGGCATTCTTTTCTAGAATGTTTGTCAGTAAATCTTCAGTTTTACCTGCAAAATCCTCTGAACTTCTGAAAACTATCTTTCCCATTTCTTATCAATCTTTAGGCCTTGAACCAGCTGTTTGAGAAAATCATGGCGTTAGACATTGATGAACGCCATCTCCTTCGTCTGGGTCATGGAGAGGAAGAATTGGAAACAGAAAAAGATTTCAGCAGGTGAGCTGATGGGCAAGAGGACAGTGCTAATGATAAGCTAATTTAGGCAAGCATGACAAATGTATATTTAAACTCCTCATATATGTTGCTAATAAACAGATGGCAGTTTCTTCCCAGTCCTAAAGAACCAGCCTCAGTCCCAGGCCTATTTACAGTTTAGCTCTTACCCACAAGAGCACGCTGGGCCAATTCATTAGCATCTAAAATCTAAAGATTTATTAATAAAAGAAAGAAAAGGTTGAGAGTAAGATTGTTACAGCGAATACATTTAGCAGAGATGTTACAGACTGCTAGCTGAGAAGTCTCTGGTGTGCATCCTGTACTAGGATGGGTCAGCAGTCCTTTCTGGCTCTCTGTCCCTAGCAAGGATGCATCTGGAATCAGGAGTAAGACTGAAGACCAGATGGAGATGCTCTCATGGGATTTTTATATTCCTGGTGTCTCCCAAATTGGAGCTAGATACATGATTAAGTGACCTCTCTGTGTTTCACATGCAAGCAGCCATGCAGCACTGGATAGTCTGCAGGCTTCCAGATGCATTTCTTGGGTGTGTATTGGCCACTCTGAGAGCCATTGTCCATGAACCAGTGCTAGTTAGCACAGCCATTCAGTGAACTGTCATTCCTCACAATAGGTAGTCCAGGCCTATTGCTCCCTTCAAGACAGAGAACATTTACGGTACAAGTACAGAGACCATATTCATAACTTCACATACAAACATCATACAAGTACATGCGTAGCATAAATAGACTCAGTAGAGCATAAGCTTTCATTTGACACCTCACATGGCCCACTTTGTACAGAATCTGGGACAAACACCACCCATGGGTGCAACAGTGATCTGCCTGCTCACTTAAAAATCCAATAACGTGGCACATGTAGGAACCAGTATTTGGAAATACTAGCATGACTAAATATAAGTTTGAGAGTTGTCTCTCTGACTTCACTGGGAGTACACATGTTGACAAATGTAGGATCAGAGCCTTGCATTGGAAAATAAATGAACAGAACAAGTACTGGATTAATTTGGCAATATCTTAACTTGCTTCACCCACCTTCTGTTTTTCATATCTGGAGAGCAACATGAATACTGTAACACTTCAAACAAATATTAACATCCAGTATTTTATACAATATGTATACATTTCCCCTTCAAAATAATCCAAGATTGTTGACGTTCAGGTCTTGCTGCAAGGATAGCATCACTTAATTTAGGCTACATTTGGACTGCAGCTCTTTTCTGAGATACCGGAAAAGCTATGCTGCATCCAAGAAATGTCTGCTTTTTTTGAAAAAAATTTCAGAAAAGCGGACACACTCTCTCACCATCCCTGTAAACCTTGTTTTACGAGGAAGGGAGGTGTTGAAAGAGGAATTTTTTCCGAAATTTGGCGCTGTGTAGACAACAAATTTCAGAAAAGCCTCTTTTGAAAGAAAAGCAGAAAAATATGCAAATTATGGTTCGCAATTTGCATATCTTTTTCCGACTTGTCTTTGTAGTGTAAACATAGCCTTGCTGTGTTGGGCAGGCAAGAAGCATTTGGGGCCAAGAGCAGCTGATATTTTTCTCTGACTGATTACTTTCTGGTATTTGGGCTGTTTTTGAGTGTATTCTTCATACCGGTACAGTTGTCTCTTTAACATATGAAAGGTGGTTTTAGCTGTGTGTTTGCTTTTTTACATATTAACTAAACAAATCTGGGCATGTGACATGGACTATGATGAATAACATTTTCTTTAGTGAAACATTTTTCTTTAGTGAAAAATCTGGTTGTAGTCACTTGTAACTCTGGAAGTTGGATTTTTATGGTTAGTTCTCCAGAAAGCATATTTGATTATGGCTACTGGAAAAGTAATTGGGTTGCTTCAGTTGTAAAAGAGTCCTCTTTTCAGTTCTGTAATTTACAGAATTCATATTTCCTGCTTCCGTTACAATTATTTCTATTTTCTTATTTCTTTAAAAAACAGGGAGAGTTCTAGGAAATTCCATTTTTTTTTAATTATGAGAGAAACTTGCATATTTACATGTTTTGTTAGTGGCTTTAATTGTCTTTCAAAATTAGCCTTTCTCACATTCAAAAATTATCTTTTAACGGCACATATATGGAAAATTCATTAAGCTCAGTAAGGCTATGTCTACCCAGCAGCATTATTTCTGAGTAACTGATGTTATGCCAAAATAACGAAGTCTACGTCTACACACAAACAGTTTTATTGACATAATGTCAAAAAAATGTTGAGCTGGAGGACTTCTTATTCTGACTCCATGTAGCCCTTATTGTACGAGGAGTAAGGAAAGTCGGAGGAAGAGTACTCTTTCTCAGACTTCCTGCTGTGTAGATAGCTTATTCTGCTTTTGGCGATATTTCAGCTTAAGCTACGCTATTGACATAGCTCAAGTTGCATAGTTCATCTCGTCATTAGTCCTGCTGTGTAGATTTGCCCTAACATAATTTTGATTTGACTTTTAAGGAGTATCGTCAGTATAAGTAGGAGGGAGGAGAAAGAGTTAAAATAGCGGTACATACTATTCTCACGCCTGACTTTTTCTATGCCACTTAAGATTTTTAGTTACATATTCTCATTTTGTTGAATGTTTTTCTCTCACATTGTTGTGTGAAAGACTTAAACAAGTTGGGAAACCTGACTGTGCAAAGGAAACAGTTCTGGATTTGAATCGGGTGAGATGAACATTCTTGTCATAGGCAGAAGATATCCCCCTCTCATCCCTTCCATTGGGCCCAATCACCTGGGGTGCAGTTATCAGAGGATGGAGACAGGTCTCTAAGAATGATGTCCCATCCTTTCAGGAATATGAGAGGATAACTTCATTAACATTTGAGATGCTCTGATTCTGTGGGGATGAGGGCATAGAAGTATTATCTAGATATATAAAAATAGTGGGCGCGTAGCAGTTTTTTGTTCTGTTTTTGTTAGTAACTAACAAAGACTAGTGCTTGTTCTGTATAGTTATTTTTGTGACATCCCGGTGTTGGCATTCAGCACAATTAATTTCAGCTGAGAGAGAAACTCAGAATACATAATTATTTGTATCACATTGTATCCATTCTGTAGGTATGGAAGAGTTAATTATGTCCTCGCTCGAAGATTAGAGCTTCTACGAGAGGTTGGACGATTACAAGAGAGCCTGGGAGTCCCAGGAGATGTTTCTTATACTTGTGAAACAGCTGGTCACTTCTTCTTATACCAAGTAAGAGATGAAATATTTTTCCAAATAGCAGATTTGGACCTTATTAGGTTATGAAACATAATGTGAATATTGGAGTGAATTTCTTAGAACTGAGTCTAAAAAAATCGTTTTGTTTGGGGGGCTCAAAATGCAAACAGCAACTGAAGCTATAATTATAATGTTACTTGTTTGTGTTGCTATTTGTTTTTAACTCTGCCTGATGACTCATAAATTGAAAGGCCAGAATTCGTGCTTCTTTTTTATATAACTATTGGCAAAGTTTCTGATTTGGATTTTCTTCTTTAGATATGACAATCTCAGCAAGTTTCTTCGTGCTGTTGATAATGGATATTAGAGCAGTCATTTACTTTTGATTTTAAGAAAACAAAGGATATATACAATAACTGGAAATTCACTTTACATTTGATTTTTATGGTAGAATACAGCAACAAAATAGTAACTTATCTGTTTCAGAGACAGCTTAATTTTACTAAAGAAATTCAGTTCTCTTCTTTGAATATATTTGTAAAATATTTTAATGAAATTATGTGAAAAACAAATATACCTGTGATTTCATGCAGATATGTTCTAAATAAAAATAGGTATCATAAGGTTTAATAAAGCATTTTGAATAAAAAGTGTACAGGCAGTCCCCGAGTTACGCGGATCCGACTTAATCTCCAGCAGACCAGGGAGAGGAAGCAAAGCAGTGGAGCGTCTGGGCTGTCCGCTGCCCGCGTGCTCCGCGGCTTTGCTCTGCTTTGCTCCCCGTCTCCCTGGTCTGCAGACCAGGGGGATGGGGAGCAAAGCGACGGAACACGTGGGCAGCGGACAGCCCAG